TCTATTAATCTATTCAGCAAACTTGTAATAACTTACGCAACAGCCAAAGAAGCCTCAGCTCTTCAATTCATGGACAAGGAGCTAACTGCTGACAAGAAGGTAATAGTGATCGATTTTAATAATACTCTTTATGAAGATCTCGATATTTCCTTGACCAGAGGAGCACACATGTTGCATATGCTGCACCTCGCTCGTACCTTTAGAGCGCCCCTAAAATAAAATTTATAAGAAGCTCGTACGTTTTAGCTAGAATAGTGTGAGTCCTTTTCGATCAACCAGAGGATATACCCCTCAATGCCATGAAGTACCCTTAATGGGCCCTGAATCATGGCCACGTTCCTTATTGAGAAAGATAGATGTGCAGCTTTTGCTTTTACAATTTGTAATTGCTGCTCAAACATAGTAATTGGGCAACTAGGACAGTGAAAGCCGTTTAATCTTATAAAAATGATATTTATTATTTGAGAATTTCAGGGACCATACTTATTCTCACAATGTCAAGCCATTCATGCTCGTTCAATTATGCCTTGTATGGATACACCATCAGTTAAGTCATCATACCGTGCGGAGGTGAGGGTTTGAAATGTTGCAAGCTTCCGAAAAGTCACGGATTGGATTCGGCGGTAACAGCCTCACGACATTTTCTTACATTGTTCTTATGTAACGCTTTAATGCACCGCCCTTGTACATGCTCTTTCAATCATTACCATGTATTGGGCATGTTTGATAGTCTGCTCTCCTATTGATTACATTGGTAATCTACGCAAAACTTTTCGGCGTTCGAATTTTTTTTTTCTCAGGTTGCTGTACCTTGCAGCTTAGTGTGCCTAATGAGTGCTATTGGTAAAGGAAAGAAACAATCCGGAGACACTACAACTTACACCTTTGAGCAACCTGTTGCCATTCCATCGTATTTGTTGGCTATCGTCGTTGGACATATCGAAAGGAGGGAAATCAGCCCAAGGTACATTTGAAAATGCTTTGCTTCATTACATTTTTTCAGTGGAAATGTAGTTCAGAAGGAAAGTACAGGGGAATTTTTCATGTGTAGCATTGAATGCCGAAGCGCAGAGGAGGAATAGCAGGTTCCGCTATACCCTAGTGATGATTAGGAATGTTTCCTGGTCAGGAAGCATAGTTTTTATCTTAAGCCTTAGAAGAGAAAGGGCAACAAACAAGGTGGGTGAGTCAATTAAATGTTCAATTCTTACCCCATCCGAGCTTAATGCGTGAAGCAATCATCTCACCTTAGATAATAGTTTCATTCGGCCGAAGTCGTCTTTGGGCATTGGTAAATTCGGCTACCCCTCCTTCTATGCGCTCTAGTGCTCAGCGTTAAATATTAGAGATGCTCCTCCTCCTCCCTCCCTCAACCACATTTTTATTTCACCCATTTTTTCAAAATATCCCATTTAACGCTCAACCTATCCGTATCTGACAAGCTTGATGACCAAACCCAAATACATTGGCGTCAAATGGGCTGTCCTGAAAAAACGGCGACCTTGAAGGCATAGCATGATGTCACAACCTACGAGTTACATACATGCATGTTTTTTGGTGTTTCTAGTAATGAAAGGGTCGATTTTACAAAAATAAGACTATTTACAATCTCTAACTGTCTTGTAGATGTGATGTATGGTGTGAACCTTCAATAGCTGATGCAGCAAAATGGGAATTCGAGTCGACGGAGAAGTTCTTACAAACTGCAGAACAATTAGCAGGTCCCTATCGATGGGGAAGGTGAGACACTTGGAATTGTCACTGGTATCTCGAAGCTATTGGTCCGAGGAGTATTGACATAAATTTAAGATTGCGATAGAGTGGCGTAGACTTGCGAATGTACTAATACCCTTAAGACTGAGTCGGTCAAAAGTCTCAAATATTGCTGACAAATCTTCCTACGATCTAATTACAGCAAGACTGAGGACTTTTCCTATAGTTAGGTTGTGGGATACATATATTACTGAATACGTTACTGGGAATTATTGCAGGTATGATCTCGTTGTATTACCACCTACGTTCCCTTTTGGTGGGATGGAGAATCCATGTCTAACATTTGTTACGCCAACCTTACTGGTATGCTTTTTCGTGTATAAAATCGTTGCTTTTTTTCTGTTTTCCCTCGCTCTCAAGTATTATGTACTCCATCCTAACATAACATCTGACATTAAGGCTGGTGACAGGTCTCAGGTCGGAGTTATCGCGCATGAAATAGCACACAGTTGGACGGGAAATCTGGTTACAAATGCCAGCTGGGAACATTTCTGGTAAGCATTAGATTATCTAAACGCTACTGTTATTACTACTATTATTATCGAAAATAAAAATATAATATAATAAATATAAATACAAATATATGCTATGCTGTGAATCAATAAAATGATATAAACAAAGCCTCTTCTCGTTTCATCAAGATTAATCATCAAATCTCAAAACCAACTTACAGAGTAGAGCCAAAAAGTAATACAACTGCCGTGCTTGTCTTTCTATCCCACCACAGATTCCGGAAACCTAGTCTTACTCATTATTTGGTCACAAATTGCTAGGTATCAAATGATGAATACAGCTGCATTGACGTTCTTTGATTTATATTGCAATGAAGATTCTATGATCTATGCCCCTAGAAGGACTTGAAGAACGTTTGTGGAAACAATGAATCAAAGAATTCATTAACCTTATATTGCAGCATTGAATATAGGCCCAATGATCATAAGTATACGCAACAATGAGGAACAGCCCACCGCGATTTCACCTCCTTTCTAAGCTTGTCAGAAGAGCTGACATTTCTAGGAAGAATTTGCAGGAGTAGAGTAGTCCAAGAATAGCGCTATGTTTTTCAGGCTAAACGAGGGGTTCACGGTTTTCTTGGAAAGGAAGATTAAAGGACGTCTCGATGGTGAACTAGCAAGGCAGTTCAAGAGTGAATGCGGGTATGATGTAAGTTGATCACTTTCGGGATTAGTCCTTTGAACATGATAAGATAGGCATCGAATATTCTTATGGGGAATATGACGAGTTGTGCAAGTGTCGTGGCGTCACTGCCCACACTAGAATTCTCCTTTGTAGGAGGCACATTGTTCCAGGAAGGTTTGACGGATGCCGTAAAGAGATTTGGCGAAACGCACGAGTTCACGAAATTGATTCCAAAATTGGACGGCGTTGATCCAGATGATGTGTTCAGTCCAGTTCCTTACGAAAAGGTGAGAATCAATATGTGTGTGATTATTACTTAGAACTTTTCTATCGTCTCAAAATTATCTCGCATTTAATCGCCCACCAAGCAGTTCGCTGCTTTCAAGCCTCTCTGGAGTTAAAATGGTGTAACCATAAGGATGCCAAATCTTGTTTTAATGATGGGAGCTCAACCCAGCTCATCGTGGTAGTATCGGTACAGCAATTACCAACGACTAGGCAGTAAAAATCGCAGTAGAGCACTATCAACTTGGGACTCATCCATAATTTCAGAGCGCACTCATTGAACAATCGCTAGATATCATTCTCTTCTCATTTATCTAGTTGCTACCCTATTACGCCCTCATTTGTCAATTTTATTGACGTGATTTGATTTGTATTGGCAACTACTATACTACCGATTTCAGGGTTCCGCACTGCTGTTAACGATCGAGCAACTCCTGGGCGATCCACCTAGATTCGAAGAGTTCCTTAGAACCTACATTAACAAGCAAGTTATCTTTTTCTGTAATGAAAATCCGAAACTGCAAACATGCTTAGCATAGTTCTACAAGTTGCATACAACAATATGTACCTTAGAGGATAGTCAGTAGCTATGCAAATCATTATACTTGATGGCGCTGTTCAAAACCTTAAACGGGACCAGTTTTTCCAATGTGAAGTGGCGGAAATAGCAAATATAGCAGTAAGAGGTGTAGCAAATAAGAAGAGAAAAAGGTTTCCAATTGTTACTAATGGTATTTGAAGGCGCATTTGCACGTAATGAAGGGAAAGTTTGATTTCTCAGTGGTAGCAATGATGCGATAGCTGGCTGAACACTGCCGCTTGCCCTGGGGATTCGGGAAGGATTACCTTTACCTGTTTACAATCGCATATTTTGTTGACATGATCTTCCTCCGCCTGGACCATCTTACAGGCTGACTCAACTGAAGTTATTCGGACAACCAATCAGTTTTATTCTTTATTCATAGTTTTTGATCCGGGTCACATTTAGGAATTTGGCCCAAACATCTCTGAGAATTTCCCCACGGACCGAGGTGACCACCTACATCCACCTATATCCACACTTTCCGCGTTTCAATAGAGGGAGAGTTTTCAGCGCTGATGAAGGGTCTTAGTAGTAGCAGAGCAGAAGCCGGACTTTTCAAAAATGTCGTAACTCTATTCAATCGTTATCAAGAAATTGTCGCGCGATAGCCCACGACCGTAGTAGGTGTGATAATTCATGCATAAATCACATTATGATGCCGTTTTGCCAAGATTGCTCCAACAAATTAGTAAACTGTGGAAAACTAGCCCTTCTCACAGAGTTCAAGTCTTGGCATTAAAAGAGAAAGGGTCTTAGCTAATCAATTTTTAATGGAGTCTTGTATGCCTTCACACACTTCTCAATCGATCAGGAAACAGTTGAACTGCGAGGTGGCCATGATCGCTTGATCAGCTACCGATGGACATTGGGCTTGCCAACTCAATTTTCATCCTCGTTGGTGCCCACCCCCCTATCTTTTTCCTCGAAGGCGAGGAGAGGTTATTAGAGGTGAATGAATTAACAAAGAAACACCTTTGCGACATGGATGTACGGTGTGGGTTGGCCGGGTTGACCTTTTGTATAAAAGGAATTCGCAAATTCGAGCAAACGCAAGGAGGTTCATTTGACATGTGGGCTATCTCACAGTTTAAGAAATGACTTTTGAAATTAGTGAGCTTTTGAAAATTACCTTTTTGCAGAGCTAAATTATGACTACACAATATGGTCGACAAGATTGCCATGTACTTTCGTAGCAGCCGTGTGTTCTTCATAGTTTACATTAGGAATTTCGAAAAAAAAAACCGTTTCTGATTAGTCAATGTGTCAATACGCACTGGCTATTTGGTAGCAACCTTAATTTCAAAGCTTTTGGGATGTCAAAAGTGAAAAACTGTAGCATGAAAGCGGTTGAAGTACGGTTATCGGTTGATTCACGAAATACTATACTTGAATTCGAACTCAACATAATCCCGCGACGCGACCGCACGCGGTATAGCTTGCTTGTCGCAGATACGTCCAGCTTAACATATGCAAATGGCTTCCGTTTCCGAATCTTTTTTTTACAGATATGCCTTCAAGAGTATCATAACCGACACTTGGAAAAATGAACTCTATGCGTTCTTCTCCGATAAGAAATCGTTACTCGATTCTATAGACTGGGATCGATGGCTGCATGCACCAGGGATGCCTCCCAAGCCAAAGTAAGTCTCTTCGGAACCATTTTTAAGTGGACATTGAAGTTGTGGGTCTGGCCAAGAGATCTTCTTACAAATGCTTTCTTACACAAAGATAATTTAAAAATGCTTTATTTATGCATAAATAGGGTGCTCCTCATGGGGCTTGAATGTCTATTGTATTTCATTGCTTTTCTCGTGGTCAATTAAGTCCCCAAACTACCAGTTGCTGTCATTTGAGGTACGACTCCAGTCTGATGGATGCTTGTCGTGTTCTGGCAGCTGACTGGACATCAGCTGCTGTCAACATTGCCCCAGCCACAGCAGCTAATTTCGATCATATGTTACCAGGTCAGAAGGTTGAAACACTGAATAAAATTCGAAGCAGTGGCAAGTTCAGTCCCGAAAAGGTAATATATTCCGAAACCTTTTCTTTCGTATCGCTCCATTCGGTAGGAGCGCAGACGTCGAGGGTATTCCTGTGTCTGTGCTCTTAACACAAAGACTGCACACGTGACAAGCTGTTGCTCATTTCGCGTCATTTCAGATGCCATTGTTAACATCACGCTACAAACTTGAAGAAGTAAAGAATGCTGAAGTGAAATTCAGCTGGTTAATGCTGGGATTGGAGACGAAATGGCAGCCAATCATCCCAAATGCACTCGCATTTGTACTATCAGTGGGCCGTCTAAAGTATTGCAGACCAATTTATAAGTACGTTGCGTTGCTTCTTGACCGAATCGAAAAAAGACCAAAATCTGAGTTTTGCCATAAGTCCTTTAGTACGGTAGAGCTCTGTTTACAGAGACCTGGTCCCTAACAGGAAAACAGTGCTCCATACTTCGCTCAATATTATGGTAAGAGACGCTGAGTGAAAACTCGCGCTCTTTCTTCTCAGCCGCTCAAGTTGCTTGGTCACTTTAGGTTGCAATAAAAATCATTATAAAACTAACTTTGAAAAAAAAATTAGTAATAGAAGAAAAGCCACGCTACACCATCACATTTATGACCGCCAGTGTTTCGGAGGGGTGTGGTAAACGAGCATCACGAGTTATCGACCCACTGAACATGCCGCGTCGCGACCGTACGCGTCTTAGACTGTACCCCCACACCCTTCTCGGTTCCCTGGACTTTAGTTGGACATGACGAGTGGTAAATTCATCCACTTTGGGAAAGCATTTTTCCCTCATGTATCCTTGCTACTTTTTGGGTTTTCTCCTCGAATTAGAAATGTGAATTTCTCAGACTTGATTCCATCATTCAGGTCATTATTCAACTGGCCGGCCGCTCGGCCATCAGCAGTTCAACAGTTCGAAAGCAACCGCAAGTACATGCATCCAATTACGGCGAATCTTTTAGCGAAACTTCTTTAATAACCTTAGAAAGACTCATAATTTCAGACATAACTTAATCTGTGCATGATTTAAGGGCATTATAGGTGAATTAAAAGCATAATTAGTTGCGTTAAAGAAATAATTTGAACGTTGTTGTGTATTGTGATTGTTCAATAATTTTTGTTCTGAATCTGTATTGTTATACGGTACAATAAAGGGGTTTTTGGTGTTTTCGCCATTCTGCGCAGTAATCCCGGAGACAAATGACATTCATTGTCTTCAGTGTTTCAAGCAATGATAAGCCTGATAAGCTTCTCTTTTGGATCACTGCCAAGTGATAACAGGGCTTGCGCCTTAACGAAAATCACTGCCGCCTGGGTTCAGTCTTCAGACGTCACCCGACCAGCTGCTGGCAGTCGCATTTTTAGCCACTTTGGAGCTTACTGATTTTCATGACTAGCCTTGGCTGGCCGCCTGTAGGCGTATTTGACACCTGGCTATGTAGCAGTATCAAAAAGTAACCCATTTATTGTACAGTTCCATGAGCCCCTCATCGTTCACACAGCAGCTGCTCTACAGAGCACTGCAGCAGCGCCTAATTGACGTAACTTATTTTCGTTTGTTGCACATATAACTGTGGAAGGAACTATCTGTATTTCTCACGGTTCTTGTAGGAAGGACAACTATTATTCTGCTCTCGTCTGCGCTCTCTCACGACAAGGGCGTTTTTCGTGTATCATGATCCCGCACAGGGATTTTTACGCATGATTTGCCTCCGAGGAACGTTCGCTGTTCTTGCTCGGCAATTTGCAGTTTTTTGCCATTCGAATCTAGTTTAAACCTATCCATTATCCCAGTCTGATTCTCCACCAAACATTGGAGCCCGACGGGACATGATAATATTACGACAAAAAATCTGGAGATTACAACGAAGATTGAAAGCTTGGTTGGAACGCCTCGAGCGCTCACTTTTGGGCAGGAAGAACAAACCTCGAGTCATCTGGCGGGGTTTCTGGACCGTTTTTCATTCACAGAAAAACGCCATCCTAGCCTCCTTGTGAATTACGGTCCCATTTCGCACAATCCAATCGCAAGTTGTAGTAAGAATTTGAGTTCACTACTCACTGCTTCTTTACGCATGAATTTGAGAGGACTTTCAAACTTCAGACGAGAGCGAGAGCGTTAACGAGACTGGACAAATGAGTCCCGTCTAGAAAACCGTATCGTGTAGCTCTTGTTCATGACACCCTGTATGTAATGCGTAGTCCAGTTGGTCGGCTGTCCATGGCCACGAGTAGTTGCAACCGTTAGTAATGAAGTTGGAACTGTTGTGTCTTGTGTTAGTAGTTCTGGAAGCTTCGTGGCCAGTATGTGCCAAAACCGCCACCCAAATTTAATCCGTCGATCCTCATACTCCTTGTTGGTTCAAGTCAGGAATTAGCCGGGCTTTGAACGAAGCCAAGACCTCCCAGCCGTACCACACACGTACATTTTCTGTCGTACTATTCACAGCACTTGTTCTACCCTTAACTATGTCACTGTGGCTTTCCAAGCCGACTCGTGCAAACAACGTAACGCGCAAATCATCACTGATACTTTCTTAAGGACGGAAGTCATGTAATCATTGCCTCATGTTTCCTTTTGTTCAATATCTCCAAGATCTTTCGAAACAGAGATGCCATTAACATCTTCTGTTAAACTTTATCCTTACAGAATTCACCTTCGCCAGAATGTGTTACTGTCACATGCGACCGCGACGGGACCCGTGCTCGGCAGCAAACAATCACGATATTATTGTCACTCATACAGCCATCAAATGGGACGTCACATTTCAACTTCGAATGCTCATCGGTCAGGCAACGCTCGAGTGCACGATGATCCGGAAAACCGACAAACTAGTGAGTTTAGACTACTACTGAAACACTGAGTAATGCCTATATGGCCAAGGAAAGAAAATTCAAGCTCAATTATGGAAAAACCCATCATTTACAATGACGTACCTCAGGGGAGCCTAGCCAGCCTCAATAGACACCGCCGATATCGATCTCTCTTGAAAAGCACGAACGAGTAGGAAAGCTACCTATAGCCGAATAACTCGTCCTTCTGTGGGAGTTTCTACCAAGACCACCATTTTGAAGTCGTTAGCAATTACCAGACCACAATCTTATTCGACTTCTTGATAGAAACGCTTCTTTCGAATTTGCATAGAATGTGGTCCAGCAACCACTACGGCTACAACGCTTGCTTTCCCATCCACCTAATCCATTCCATTGAAGAGCCGATCTCAGTCAAAACGAACCGTGCCTAAGTTGCATCAGTACTGGTCTTAAATTGAATTGTCTTCTTTCTGGGAGCGAAGTGCTGTGAAATGTTTTCCTGATCGTGTTGGATTACGATTGCCGATAACTGCTTCTGATAGCCCGACCCATGAGATCACGTTCAAAGTTTCGCTGATAACGGAACCCTAAGCCATGGATAACAGTGGCGTGCTCCGATCAGACCGAAAGATTACGTCAGTGGTGGAGGACAAAGGTGTCTGGCGAACAAAAGACGTCAGGTTTATCGCCTAGAACTCGGCTTGTGCATCCTGTAGGCGAGATTGTAAATTTAGAAAGAAGGCAAAGAACGACATGTCTGATAACATTCTAGAAAATACTTAACATCGGACATGAGGAAGGAGTAAATGTAGAGGGGAGAAAAAACCATGTTAGCTCATGGGTCTGTTGTAGTTGATTGATGGGAGCATTCGATCTCCGTTTTACTGCGTGATTAGCTTTGCATGGACTCAAAGGAACAAATGCACACCAGGTCAGTGCTACTTTACCAGACAGACCTCTGACAGCTTTTCGACCATGTGGGATGGACCGGTGTTCCATTCCATGGACTATGCATGTGATGAAAGAGCCACCTGCTACAGACCTCACGCTTTCTTAAACTAGAGCATCTCCCGTGGCTGCTTCAAAGCTCGAAAAAAGACTGTAATGGAACCTTCTCAAGAATTCATAAGGCTCGAGTAAAGCGAAAAAGTAGGCATGATGAAGTGACCGAAGATGATTGTTCCCTATGAGATGTGCCACGCACACGAATCGTACCCAGAATTGGTTGTGCATCACACCTTTAGGATGTCAGTCCCAGCCTCAAGAGGATCCATACTTTACGGAAGCTACAAGCAATGGCCTTAACCGAACAAGTACAAACTACTAGTACAGTACTATTACAGTACTAGTACTAGTACAGCTATGTATAGTGCTGAAATCGCCAGCGTGAGAGAACAGTCTCAATATGAAAGACCCTCATCCCAACTGCCATTGGCTAGTTTCGATAGTTTCAGCTCCTTGATGTACGCGACTTATCGATTCGTTCGGTGACTGTGGATGGGAAAGTCGTGGATTTCCGAATTGCTCCCAATGCCTACACTTTCTTCGGTTCAAAAATGACCGTCTATCTACCGAAAGATGTACAGGAGGACGGTGGTCGACTGTATGTTTTTTTCAATGATTTCCTTCAAAATATTTACTTTTTAAAATATTTGTGAGTTTTCAGTAGTGTGGTGATTCTGTACAGTACATCCCCAGACGCCACAGCTCTTCAATGGATGAAAAAAGAACAAACAGCTGACAAAAAGGTACTTTCCTCTGAGTCTCGCACCACC